GTTTATTATTATATTAATATAGGCATCATGCCAAATGTATAAAATAAAATAAAATATATATATATATGCATTATGTATTGTGCTTATTCGAAATATCACCAAACAATCGCGCACTCATACATATTATGTAACTAAAGGAAGATCACCTGAACAAATACAGAAATGAACAAAAGCATGAGATAGTATCATTCAATTTGGTTCTAATTGCCCGCAAAATGAGGCTATATGAAGGTTTTTATAATGAAAAATATGTATGTTTTTCATAGAGCACTTTACAGACGATTCGGGAATAACGCTTCAAATCACAGATCAACCGTAAGTAAGGTCGTTAATTTTCATCTTTTAAACTATTGCAGAGTTTACGTCATAAACCGTTTTCTATATGAGCCTACTTAGTGTATGCACAAAACAAAATAGTAGCAAAAAATTATTTATTTATAATTGACGTTATGACGTTTCCATCAAATCAAAAATGCATCATTTCTAGTGTGTAAAGCCCTGTCTAAACTATGGGATTTTATTTGACAAAAATATGTGACATAGAGACTATATGGGCATACAACAGTTTTTTTTTGTCATAGAAAATTTGATAATGTAGACAGGTATAACATTTTCATTCTAGGCGAAAACTTAGTGCTGCAGTGTACTTACTTGGCAGTGGTGGTTATATACCCGGACATTCTGAAGGTAATTAATGGCTAAATAAATAATAATAATAATAATAATAATAATAATAATAATAATAATAATAATAATAATAATAATGATGATGATGATGATGATGATGATGATAATAATAATAATAATATTAATAATATTAATAATAATAATAATAATAAAAATAATAAAAATAATAATAATAATAATAATAATAATAAAAATAATAATAATAATAATAATAATAATGACAAAATATAGGCTAAATGTGCAATGTTTTATTTACAATCAACCATTTTGAATAATCCAAATGTTATTAACTGACTATGGCCTTTTTGCTTTACTTTCGTTCAGTATATATGGAGTCGGCGTGTTCATATGACCACTCACAGGTGCTGCATCCTTTTGCATATCGCGTTCACACACACAAGCTTGGTACGTATATAATTATGATGTACAGTATGCCTTTACGACCATATACTACACACGACTTCAACATTTGCCACACGTTTTCGCTAAAAACCAAAATTTATTATATAACGTGCTAGTTTCGTAATTCTAAATTCTTAGGACGAGGAGAAATCAGTGGCTTAACTAAAGCAGGTTCAGGCGGTTCATTGAACCAGGGCCCCTGGTCTTTAGGGGCACCGCCCGCTTATAAAAATCTAATAATTAAAGCAATGCATATATAAATTTATAAATTAAAAGGATACAAATCTTTCAAACTGGTTTTCCATAACATGAGAAGCGTGAGTCTTTCATATTGCATTATAATGTGTTCGTGATCATTTATTCACGGAGGAATAAGCATACTGTACCCTATGCATTCATAATACAGTACATGTTTTATTTAATTAGGCCTACATATTTTTATATGTATACCACAATATCTGTCAACTCGTATATTAATATAATTTTCCTTGGATTTGATCACAATTTTTCTGATGTATGTAATGATTTTGGGGTGATTTCATGAAATTGTCTGTTTGAATGAAATTGTATGCTATATTGCTTTAAAGTAATTGTTCTATTTTACTTTCCGGAGGTTTTATGAATAAATTGAAAACAACAGGCCTATAGACATTGTTACACATATTGCATTTATGTGCTCATGTTTCTTGCATTTTAGTTATTCATGGAGGTCCCATGGCGGTACTCTTTAATCTAGTTATGGCATTGATAAGAAATTTTGAACAATTTATTTTTGTATTTCGCAAAATGTCTTATTCACATTATTTAAAACACTAATTGTGATTTGGTTGGTTTTGGATCATGGTACTACCGTCATGTCCAGATCATTCTTAACATTTGTGGTGATTTTCTTGGCCCATTATAATATTGCAGGTACAGGGCCTGGCCCTAATATCTCTTTTGTAAATAGGCCTATTTATAAGCATAATGTTTTTTGGGTCATACCTGTAGGATAGGATATCCTGTAAGGTCAAACTCTTCCAACAGAATTATGGGTGGGTCTGTCATAAACATTCTCACTCCCTCACATCCGCAACCAAGTCGGCCGCTCGGAGGAAGACCTTTTTGGTCCGCTGTGAACATTTGCTATAACATAGACGATCGAAAGCACGCGTCTTAAACGTCTATGATGATAATTATAGACGTTTAGACCAATTTATATGTGGAGGGCCTCCAATACTCTCGAACCAGGGCCATTCGAAACCGAGTTACACCACTGGGGGAAATCACACAGTTTTAGTGCATTTGGGAACTAGCGTTTCGCGTATCTACCAATGGTTAGTGCGTTGGGAACTAGCGTTGTTCGCGTACACCAGTAGGAGTGAAATGCGGCCTTAATTCGAATTTACCCCCAAGGACCTCGACAATAATGCAAGAGAAACGCAAAAAAATAATAATAATAATTATTATTATTATTATTATTATAATTATAATATAATAATAGGCCTAATAATAATAATTATGTAAGGAAATGTATTTTTTGTCTATTGTCTATTTTATCAACAGGTAGAGTGGTATCGGGTTACCGAATTCGAAACCAGCAATGGGAAGAGATAGGACGGCGAGACCCACAAAAACCTGAAGTGAGTAGGCCTATGAAATAATAATAACAATAATAATATTAACAGTAATAACGCAATAAATAAGTAAATTTTCAACAATTATAAATAATGTTTTCCCATTTGCTTGGTCTGTTGCTTTATTAGTTGATTTATTTTTGTACCTTCTTATGCTTTTTTACTCATTTTCCCAACTTTTAACGTTTCTCTTTTGGCTTGTGTGTTTATTCGTATTTAGTATTATTATATTTAAATATTATTAATTATTATTAATTTTAGTCCTGTTATTTTATTTTGCGTGTATTGAATTGCATTGCTGCTTTTTGGTAAAATCTTTTAGTGTATGGAAATTATTACTGTGAATTTGATGCAATTCGGCTCTGCCAAACAAACTTTTTTGAAAGAATGAAGAATAAAGAATTCTAATAGGCCTATGTTTGCAGAAATATACACAAAATGTGTCAACAATTATTTGAAAAATAGTGCACATCAATAATTACTATATTAATTCCGTAATTTCATTTTATAACAGCAATTGATATTTGAATATGCTTTTCTTTAGATGTTTTACCCCATTACCAAGAATATGACGGTAGAGCGAGGGGACATCTTGGTAAGTAATCTTCCATGTCTAAACGTTGTCAGTATACCGTTACGCAGTAAACGATTCATTTTCCGTGCAGTCCGGGTTAAAATAACTTAATTGTAAAATTACTATATTTAAATGCATTACCGGTAAATTATAATTTTGTGATGGAATATGGATGAGCATTATTATCTAAGAAATAGACCGATATGTAAGCTTATATAATGTATAGTACTGATATTGGAGAAAGGATTAAAAGTAACGAAGTTACTTTTATCAATCTTAATATTTCCTTTATGTGATATAGGCGGCAAGATGCACGATGGTGAATGATATGGATAAGACTGTTTACACTGGGTAAGTGTGCACATATATTTGTAATACCTCCTTAAGAAACATAAATTTAAAGTTCAGTAGTAAACAAGCAGAGTGAGTAATAGCACAGGTGGGCGAAGTTCGGCCAGACAGTGATTTTTTTGCGACCCGCATAAATGAATTAAAAAACCTGCCCACCAATTAACCAACTTTGGCTAGAAAAGACCTTGTTTTTTACGGCCCGACACTGCTCATCTGCAAAAAATTAATATGAAAACTAAGCATAGAGCGGTATAAAAGCAGTGCATGAAGGTTTTTGGAAGCTCACTAGAAACATAAGTTTGTGTGTGGCTGTCGCTGTTAAATCAAAAATTCACTTTGGCCATCCGACCAATTTTAGTATGCTTGAGAAATATTGATATTCGTCAATGTAGAATGCGATCCAGGTGCAAACGTACTGCTACACACATTTTAACTTACAGTTACCCCTGTTCTTAATCGGATACCCTCTTATAATAATAGGCCTACCGCCACAGATGAGTGAATTAAACCCGTATTATTATCTATATGCAGGGCTACCTCTGATGATGAAATGTGTAATTTCTACATGATGTACTATACAGAAGGTACATTGCCTAACATCGACACTTGCTTTAGAGCAAATCAATTTAAATGGCGACACTACTTCGACAACATCCCAGCAGACGCAAGCGTTGTGCCGGACGAAAAATAGAACATTTAAGAGAATATAAGTGTTTAATCAGATGTCCACAGTGCAACTAAAAGTAAAATCACTACAATGGATTGGGTAACTATAAGGCCTTGATATAGTAGGCCTATATTCTCTCTACAACCTATGTGGAAAGATATATATCTGGTTGTCAAAACGAATAAATTTTTGTCCATCAGGAATGTAACTAGAAGCGATTGTTGTTGTAAAATGTATGTTGTGTTGTCTGTATTTTCTTTGTACAGTTATTTAGTTTGTTATCCATTATACAAATGATTAATGTTTATAAGTACATGTGTATGTTTATGAGTTAAAAAATGGAACAGTCCATCCATCCAATATTTTTCCATGGCACTCATAAAAAAAAACATTTATTTGTTTTACATACAACTAAAATAAATTGTTGTCATTTTGGAAATTCAATTTCATGTTCTATCTCTCTCAGAACGGTGGCATCACTTTATAGTTCAAGATTTAATTACTGAAAGTACCTGTTATATTAATTGTATTTTTATAATAATAGGCCGAGAAGGCCATGGAAGAACATTTATGGAAATATAAACCAACATTACACGAAGAATGACACAAATAAAAAAAAAAGAAGAAGATATTTTGCCATTAAATGGTGTAATCTACAATGTCACGTGGTAATAAATCAACCAATCAAATTACATGGATCTAAATAGGTGTGGTATAAATGACATTATTGTGTGAATTCAGCATGTTCATACAAATGACATGTGAAATGTGAATGTGTGTGTAAAAATGTATAATTGAAGACAATGATGCTCATGTATTTATAAAAACATTTTTTAGCTATTGCATCCATATCATCATTATAATATTGTTTATAAAAATATCGTTTAAGAAATAGACATTCATAAATAACTGAGATCTAACATAGAGCAATTATATTTATTCATAACCATTATCAGCAACAATTTAAACAAACGTGATTAAAATTAATGAAACCAAAAAGAAAAAAACCCTATCTTGTTTGCATCATTGATATTTTAGAACTTCATGGTACTGTCCTACTTATTGAAAATAAAAATACTCTAATCAATGTGGATAATAAAGGTTTTAAACTAAATAATACAAACAGAAACGGGAAAAACGCTCTCAATGTGTCATAAATGAAGTACTGTCATCTGTGAAAGCAACGGGTGATGATTAAAAAAAATAATTTCCAGCATTTCAGATTCATTGTTTGTTTCCTGGTTTCAATCACTAATACTGTACTACTATTATGCAACTGGTACACAGCTGGTGTTCTGGTACCCATATGGTGCAATTGGTAGGAAGCTGGTACCCCTATGGTCCAATTGATACACAGCTGGTGTTCTGGTACCCACATGGTGCAATTGGTAGGAAGCTGGTACCCCTATGGTCCAATTGATACACAGCTGGTGTTCTGGTACCCATATGGTGCAAATGGTTCAGAGATGGTATACCTGGAGGAACTACCGGTAGTAGACATCACTCCTGCCGCACTGCCAGTTCATCCAGATTAACACCTGCATCAGGTTCCTTGTATCACCTTCCGGATCTTCTCAGCATCTTCTTGAAGTTTCTCATTGTTTTGATCGATCTTCAGTGCTGCTTCATAGTCTTGTAAGCCTGAAATTCAAGATTTAAGACTTAAGCACCTAGAATAAGTTATTTTCTACTATTACTGGTAATGACAGTGTTAATACACCATCTCACTGTTCTGTTTTACAAACATGATTTCCAAGAACATATATCTTTAAAAATGGCAGTCCAAAATTGTGTGCAAAAAAAATATATACAGCACTGACCTTCAATGTATAACTCCATTTCACAAAATGCTGTTCCTCTACGAGCATGTGACCTTAATCTAGCTGGGGCATTGGCCAAGACAGGTGGGGTTAAGAGTTCAAGAGCCTTGAAATTTAAAAGATACAGTATTGAGAAATTATTTTTAAAAAAAATGAATGGAGTACAAGATGCATGCCTTTTACGTAACTCACAATTAGAAATACCCCCCCAAAAAAGCAACAAAAACCCATTCATTTTATGTAATGTTCTTGTGTAAAATTTGTTTTGTAATATCCATTTGAATGAAAATCATGTAGACTTACTTTTGAGCTGTCCTCTATACATTTCATAAAGTTTCTCAACTTCAGATGGCAGGCTGCTCGGTTTGAGTAAATACTGACATTATTTAAGGAAAAATTGACATTGAACTTGGATAGTAATAATAATAATAATAATGGTGTAGTTTATATAGTGCACATATCCATCTAATGTAAGATGCTCAGGGCGCTTGATATGGGGACTAGGAACTCGGTCAATGACCCTAAGGCTCCCTTCGTGTCTGTGCTACCGGTAACCCGGTACCAGCAACTCTCGTCGTCCACTACAGGGGCTGTCTGTTCCAGTACACCGGGGTATCCCCCTACTTGTCTCGAAGGATATTCTGGGTTCTTTATAGTGCATACGAGCTATTGTATACACTGGGCCTACGGTTCATAGTCCTTATCCGAGAAGACTTGTTCTACCACTAGAACCATAGGCGAGCGTGCCGTTCGAACCAGCGCCGATATTATGGCTATAGCTTGCTGCACCCCTGCTAACCGCTTGGCCATTCGAGTCACCTAGTATTGTATATCATTTTTTAACGTGACATAAGTGGTGGTATGTAGAAACAAGCTTAACACATCTACCATCATTTCACCTCATTCTGATTAATCTAAAGCCCTGTCCAGAGTATCAAATTTTTATTTGAAAAAAACATGTGACATGCCTAAATATGGTCATGATGACAGCACATCATGACCATATATAGGCACATCATGACTATATATGGGCACACAACAGTTTTTTGTCAAAGAAAACTTAATAGAGTGGATAGAGCTTTATCCTCAGCTGTCACTTCATCCTTATCCCTCACCTTTGCACACTTTACTAATTTATTACAGTTTAACATGTTTGTCACCTACTGTATTCAACCTCATCATTATCTCCTTACACTCAAGCATAAACATGTATGACTAATTAATAATTGACATGTCGACAAGGACGCGAAGCCCTGCCCTACAAAGTCACAAAAACCTCAGACAATGGCGGCTAGACTTACCGAGTTGGCAAAGATATTCTTTGCTATCAACCTTCTTTAAGAAGGAGAATTCAGGGTAGGCGGTATGAAAATTAATCATATGTTCATAGTGTTAATCTATTTCATGGAACATGACGGGGAAATTGTTGTAAAAGCCTCTATATTTCGCTCCCAAAGGAAGAGGGAAAAGCCGCATTCAGTCAACCTTGTTGTCGGCAAAGGCCAAGTCACTGATGCGCACTGCTCGTGTAAATCCATAACCAAGCATAGGCATCTAGGCCTAGGCTCACGTATGTTTCGCGTTTAAACCAGCTGTCTAAGGAAATTAAAATGTCCGAGAAAAGGTTTCTGATCACATGACTAAATGACGCTCGCTGATTAGTCGGTTTATCTGTCAATCAAATCTCGTCGAGATGTTAATTAGCTGAACTTCAGATATCTTTAAAAGGATACGATGGTAATTTGCTGTCCAGGCGAACAGCAAGGTTATAAGCGTTGATAGCAGCTAGGAAATTACCAGACTTGAAGAAGCCACTAAAAAAATAAATTTTTAAATGCAATTATTCAGGTATTTAAATTTACAAATGCAAAATGCATACCTATCATTATTACTATTTTTTAATGAAATAATACAAAAGATGTTACAGTTATGATCACTTACTCTCCCTTCTCCTTAAGCCATTGAGGGTTCTTTTCCTCTGCACTTAAATCAGAGTTTTCAACATCTGCAACACGCCTAGCCTCAGCCTGCTTTTTGAGCCACTAAAGGAGAGAAAATATGGATGTTTAGCTTAAGGTATTAAGTACAAATACAAACAAAATCTTGTGTTGTTTCACTCTACACAACACAATTTTACATCTTTAGATGTGCATAGTGCAGTAGACTGGGTTTTCAATTTAAATAATGAGGATGGCCAAAAAAACTAGTAATATTCTTACTGCATCTTCATCAGCTTTCTTTGACTCTCTCATTGGTGTAGGAAAGACACGTGGTGTGAAATTTACTTTAATGCTGCCACTCTGTCTTGGTGCCGCCCCTGATGAGGGAGGTGGTATCTCATCTAGAAGAACAATCATAAGGTCATTCAATAGCAATTCTTTCATTCAACACAAAATTTTAGTATTATCATTCATATCCATCACAGCGCTATTAAGCGTTTACCTTCTTTGAACATATCTTTCTTGCTAACATCTTTCTTCTTTGTTTCGGTATTTTTTCCTGATATTCCATGTATTTTCCAACTTTCAATATCTTCGGTCGCCTTTCTTCTTTCTGCTTCCTTCGTTTCTTCAATCATTTTTCTTTCCTCTGCATCCAACTGTGAATTCCATAAGTTCAAATATTAAACATAAGCATAATTGGAAGTGCTATTATCGACATCGACGACGACGACGATAACAACGGATTAATGTTTATTTTAAACAAGTGATGTACCAACCCTCATCTGTTCTTGAAGTGCAAATTTTTCTGCCTCCCTTTTCCTAATGGCTGCTTCCTTCTTTTCTTCATCAGCTTTTTTATGAGCAGCTTCTATTGCTAGTTGACGTTGACTTTTCATCAACTCTTTATCACCTATTAAAAAAAAAAAATGTAATTCTGGGACTAAAAATATATCACACATTTGGAGACTTTTGAATAAGAATAGGAAATTATATAAGGTACTTATTTACTGGAATGCTGCACCAGAGCAAATAAACTCAGACTGTACATGTAATGATTGCAATATTGTTAATGAGTATTAAATAAACTTCAATTATAAATTGTATTGAGAAATGAAATAGAGCACTTTATATGATTATATGATAAGCAATCTAAAAATAGGAATACAAATGGATAGTACTTTACATAGTAACAATATGAATACACTATTTGAGTTTAAACATTATTACTGTTTATTATTAACCTGAATCTGGAGATGTAAGTTGTGACCATATTACTGGCTCATGTTTGAGTAGGTTGAAGACAATGGTACCATCCTTAATTTGTGCTGTTCCTTTGCTGTCATCTACAGGCTTGAATAACATGATCTCGAACAGGTATGGTGGATAGTTCACCTAAAGAAAATAGCAATATTAGGTAGGTCTACATCAAAATTAAAAAGTTACATGAATCGATAAAGTAAAAATAAATTCTAAGTAAGCAATCTTGAGATAGTGGCCTAGCCTAGGCCTATGATGATCATGTAATAATAAATGCATATATGATATATATTCAGGCGTATAGCTTATTCGGCCTTGGATAGCAAGCCTAACTAATTCAGGTAGCCTATAGGCATAGCTAGGTATAGAAATAGACCCTCTAGTCTAGGTAGGCTACCTATTCTATGGGTGTTTGTGGGTACGGGTTGGCATGGGTACGGGTTGAACTGTATTCCTATTCATTAATACAATCCAGCCAGGGTCTTGGGCCTAGCCTAGCCGCTGGGCCCTACCTAGGCCTAGCTAGCTAGGCCTAGAGCCTTACCTTCAAATAATCATCAGTAGAAAAAATATCTGCTTTGCTCGATTTTACACCCTTCAGTGGGATTGTTATATGCACCGATGATTCCGTTTCATCCCAAACGTAGTCTTTTACAGTAATTGGCATATTTAGCACGATTATCTTACAAAAAAAGAGCCAAAATACGATCAGTAACAGGAAAACAAGAAGCTTTTTCATCAATGTTTACGATCGCTTAGCAAAAGAAATTTAGAGGGCAGGCTATCCATTAGTTATTAGCTATGGAACGCCGTTGGTACTTTGGGTTATGTTCTGAGCACAGAGCTATTAAACATCGAATACATTGCAGTTAGCGCTCTAGTATTCTTATTATATCTCTATTAGCCTGGATGCAGTAGGAAATTAGCGGGAAAAAAGTAAAGGGAAATTAATTTTTGGTTTTTCTGAATCAGTATATCATATAGTGTCTCAGAAAAAAAATCCCCATTCTTAGAGTTTG